CACCGCTTTGCTGTTGCATTCGATACTGTATTGGGTCCATAAACAGCACAAATTTTTTTGGCCGCCTGCTCCGCCTTTTCACCTTGGTCGTAGTGGTACTGAAGAATGTATCGAATTTTCTCTTTTTTTACCTCCATTTTGGAACGCTGTAACACACAACTGGCTTGACCAAACACAAAACTGTCACAGAACTTTTTTTGAAGCGTAATGTCACCTTTAAATCGCCGTATAGTATGACCCGATGCGATGTATACATCGTGAGATATGGCTCACTAAAGACATCTAGCGGAAAACGCTCAGAACTTTTTACTTCACCTAATATCTGCGACTATAGATTTGTTCGAGTTGCTTGTATTTTTCACATTTTTACACCTAATGCCCGTTGCACACTAGTGCACCCCAAACATCACAGAATTTCCAAAATACGTTCTAAAAACGCTTTTAGGACAGTGGGACGTCATCAGACTATTTTTAGGATATCCTTTGAAGGTGTGAGCCATCTGAAAATAGCTAATATCTAATTAGTTTATTCTCATTAATTGCACTTTTTACACTCTCATACTTAGTGAACATACTTAGTGAACATTAAGTCTATTCTTTTTCGTTGAACTGATGCCATAAATTGGAGAGCGACAAATATATGTTTGTCTCACTTTAACTTTAACTTATTGCACCAATACAGCTGTGAAGCGAAAAAGAACAGACTTTAATCCGACTCTGATCCGATTCGAAACCCGGTGGAAACTTAGGGCTATCGCACACAAATTGACATAACTGCATATGCATAGCATAAGATCGTATGGACCAATGAGCATCGAATATTAAGCATCGAACACCAATATGGCGACTTAATACTCGATGCTCATTGGTACATACGGTCTTATGCTATGCATATGCAGTTATGTCAATTTGTGTGCGATAGCCCTTAGTCTGTATCATGGACATAAGATTATTTGAACAAAGCACAAAGTATGATTATAGACGAATGTCTATAAATTTGTTTCACTCTAATTTATTGTACCAGTGCTGTAGTGCAGAGCGAAAGAACAGACCTATCGACTGCATTCCGATATTCGACTACGGCAAACAACGTATTGTAGAACCAGCCTAACTACTGTTATGTTAAAACTTGTTAGAATACGTTCGGACCATGAAATATTTTTGGAACGTGCCTCAACGTTTTCCGCCGAGAAGATCACCCTCATATAATCATTTCTCTACACCTAACAAGTTTTTTTTACTAGGAAATGGCGAAAGGACCAAAGGTTTAAGGTCTGAATGGCAAATAGAGAGAGAGACAGATTCATAACCTTTCAGTGTATACCCCTCTTAACGAAAAAGAAAAACAGTGAGTGAAGCAAAAAAGTGAATGTGCGAGTTTTTTTTTGTTTCTTGTGGTATGTGTAGCCATATAATATAACAATGAAATCACTGCTTTTATTTTAATTATGGTATTAATATTTGTTGCATCACGTAGTGTAGCTGTGAAATCGGATAATATAAACTGTAGAAGTTATCGAGTGGTCAAGAGTGTATTCGCAGAAGATCATCTAAGGATCATACAAGGAGGTAAAAAAATTATTAATCTTCACAATGCCTAAAATAGAAAGCATTATCGAAAAACACAAGAGATAAGTAATATGATAATTAACAAGGTTGAATGTAAAAATATTACGCCGTTATCAAGAAACATATTTGTAGCTTCAAGTAATAATTTTGAGAATAATAATGAAGTACGTTACGTTGAATATAATGATTCTTATGATACTTATAATATCCATAATGATTTAGAGGTCTTGAATACGAATTCAGACACTGATTCCAAAAATCAGATAGAAGACGTAAGTAATTATATTTCAGACAGTGATTCCAATGATCACATGGAACATATAAATTGTACAAATAATTGTAGATCTACAAATATCACAGACGATTCCCTAGCTTCTTTATTGTTTTGGTTGCAAGAATGGACAATTAAAAATAATATAACTCATGTCGCGTTAAATGAATTAATGTGTCGTATAAAACCTAAGTATCCAGAATTGCCTAAAGATGCTCGCACTTTACTAAGAACTCCAAGAAAAATTAATGTAGACGTTGTTACACCAGGTCATTATTATCATTTTGGCATATGTAACTACATTGAAAAACTTTTATCGCGATGTTCTTTTCATAATGACAACTTTATTGAAGTTAATATAAACATTGATGGTTTGCCGTTGTTCAAAAGCTCAAACAGTCAAGTTTATCCCATTTCATGCAATTTAGTTGAAAATTACAATAAAGTAGAAATTATTGGGATCTATCATGGATATGAAAAGCCCACTAGTGCTAATGTATTTTTACAACGTTTTACAGAAGAAGCAAACTATTTAACAATTCATGGTATAAAAATTAAAGATCATATCTATTCTTTTAAAATTAATTCTTTTATATGCGATGTTCCTGCTAAAAATTTTGTCACTTATATTAAAGGACATTCGGTTTTTTATGCATGTGCGAAATGTACAGTTAAGGTAATGTACAGTTACAAATATTATTGTAATAGAGTGATTTATCCATATATAAATAATTGTCATTTAAGAACAAATAACGATTTTCGACAAAAATTACAAGAACATCATACAGGCACATCAATACTTGAATCGATTCCTAATATAAATATGATAACTGATTTTTCATCAGATCCGATGCATCTAATATTCTTGGGAATTGTCAAAAAACTTATCACTTTTATGGTGAAAACCCAAAAGAAAATTATCCTTTTATCAAATGTCTGAAATCTCGAAGTTACTATTAGATCAAAGAAAGAATGTACCTTCCGAATTTAATAGAAAATCAAGATCTTTATTTGAAAGTAAAAGATGGAAAGCAACTGAATTTCGAACTTTTTTGTTATACACGGGACCCGTAGTCTTAAAATCTATTATAAATAAAGATCAATATTGTAATTTTCTAACATTGCATATATCTATCAGTATTCTATCAAATTCAAAACATATAGAGCAATATTTAGGTTATTCCAAATCCTTATTACAATATTTTGTTGAAACATTTATTGTTTTATATGGTAAAGAAAATGTATCGCACAACGTACACTATTTATTACATATTTATGATGACGTAGAAAAATTTGGACCTCTTCAACAATTCAGTGCTTTTCCATTCGAAAATTATTTATAATCAATATTAAAATTAATTCGCAAAAATAATAAGGAATTAGAACAAATTATTTGTCGTATAACTGAAAGAAATAATTGCATACATCATAACTTAAAAATGACACATAATGAGACCACATTTTTAAATCCACATTTCAATGGTCCACTTATGAATTTCCGTAATTGTAATCAATTCAGTAAAGTTGTGTTCAAACAGTTTACTTTAAAAATATGTGAACCAGATAACTGCTGCAGTTTAAAGAATGGAAATGTTATTGTTATTAGAAATATTGTCGTTAATAATATAGGCCCTGTTGTCATTGGAAATAAATATAAGAATCTTACAGATTTTTATACTGTACCATGCAAATCGTCAAAATTAGGTATATATTTAATCGACGATATTGGGAATTTAGAGTTTTGGAATCTAAAGCAAATTACGAATAAATGTTTTAAATTAAAATACAAAAATAAGTCCGTAGTTTTTCCACTATTGCATTTATAATACTTAAAAATTTTTCTCCTTTGTGCTTTTTGATAAAAAAAATGCTATAATTTTACATAATATAATCAAACACTAGAAGTAGTATTTCGAAGTAAATAATTTGAGTATTTGTACGCAAGTACTTATGTGCTCGTGCACATGTATACATAAATGTATGAGTGTGTATTTGTATGGAGTAAATAAGGATTGTGAGGGGAAATGAATTAATGAATGACGAGCTTCCGAGATCCTATCCAATGTTCATGATAATTTATTGACTTGGATCTTATATAAGGTGTAGTAAAAAGAAATCCATTATTTTTCCAATAGATGGCTTTAGTAATGTGTATCTCGCATTGTGTAAGTGCGATCAGTTTACGCTAGAAAGGCGTTAGAAAGATAAGATTTTGTACTAAAAAAACTTCTCAGACAGTTTTGTGATTGTTTGACTCAGTATTGTTTGAGCGCGCGTCAAATATGGACACCAGCAAAGAGAAAATACGCCATATTTTACAGTTTTTCTTTGATAAAGGCGAAAACGCAAGCCAGGCGGCTGAAAATGTGAATAGTGTTTATGTAACACCCTGATACTGTAACAGCCAATCACGTGCAATTTTGGTTTCGTCGATTCCGTTCCAGTAATTTTGATGTCAAAGATGCACCACGCTCTGGAAGGCCAATTGTCGAAAATGTCGATAAAATAATGGAAATCGTCGAGTCCGACCGTCATGTAAGCACTGTTTCGATTGTTCAGGAGCTAAACATTGCACAAAAAAGCGTTTGAAACTACTCGAATAAGGCTGGATACAAAAAGAAGCTCGATGTATGGGTATCACACGAGTTAATGCAAAAAAACCTCATGGACCGAATTTCCATCTGCGAATCGCTGCTGAATCGTAACAAAATTGACCAATTTCTGCAGCGGATGGTGACTGGTGATGAAAAGTGGGTCACTTACGACAACGTCAAGCGAAAACGGTTGTGGTCGAAACACGGTGAGCCGGCGCAAACGGT